GACCTTCAGACTACAGATAAATAAGAATCTTAACCTTCTCATGACTGGTGTTGGTCTGGTTCTTCCCTCTTCATTCAGGGAGCATGACCTGTTTTTATTTCTTTGATTTACAGAAACAAGTGTCCCCTTATCCCTGCCCCAGGACACCTAAAGGTGACCACAGCCATGCCTGCTATTGAGATAAGAGGCTGATGACACGCCTTCCCTCAACTCTACTCAAAAGATCGTACCTCTCTCCCATACTGAGAATTTCAGTGCCAACAGGTGAACATGAGGCTTTCAAACTGTTGGAAATGCATTGTTCCTAACTCTCTTCGTGTGCATAAAGAATTCTAAGGTATACTTACCCAGGTTCCCAATTTTCTGATTATTTGCATGGACCAGGTGAGAATATAGTGACCAAAAAAAAAAAAAAGTTAGACTTGATAGCTGGTTACAACAAATAGAAATCTAGAAAGGACTCCTGGTTTGCACTGAGTATTTTGTTGTTGTTGTTGTTGTTAATTCCTATTTGTTGAATACCTTCTTTGTACCAGACACTGTACTAGCTGCTTTGTATCCATTTAAATCCCACAGACCCCAGAGGCCTTATTATATCTATTTTATAGTTAGAGAAATCAAAGCTTAGAAATTTGCCAAGGTCACAGCATAAGGATCCTGACCCAAGATCTGAGTTCCAGAAAATGCTTGGAGCCAAGTCAAGTGACTCAATGTTCCCTGTAGGATCTGAGGAATATTCCTAAGTGTGGTTTCCTAAACTGCAAAATTTGTACTGTTAATGGCAATTTCTCTTTTTCTTTTCTTTTTTTATTGTGATAAAATAAGCATAAAGTAAATTATGTTTATATAACATAAAATCTTACCATTTTAACCATTTTTAAGTGTAAAGTTCAGTGGCATTAAATACATTTGTAATTTTTCCAACCATCACCACCGTCCATCTGCAGAACTCGTTTCATCTTGTAAAACTGAAACTCTGTACCCATTTTTTTTTAAGCTTGGCAAAAGTAGTGACTTTTATTTACAACTGCATGTATCAAGATTACAATAAAAACACTAGTGATACCATCCGAACAAAAGCAATGATTTATTGGTAATTGCAATGAATGGAATATTGACAGTGTCTGATGAGAATCAAGCAATTATCCAGGAGCTGTAGATCTGATTGCATTATGGTCTTCCAGTGTCTTTTGTACCTTAGTGGCTTTCTCCTTTTTTGCCAACTACTCGTTTGAAGTCATTCATATTGGTTGCCTGGACTGGAGTACCAATAAAAGTAAAATATGAAATTCTTGTTGTTTCTTCTTCACCTTGATTGGACTGAACAAATATAGTTACACCGTTAACATTCTGAAACTTAACATAACGAAGTGGGACACAATGCCATCTTCTTTAATATCATCCTCTGTTAGTTCCAGAGCTTGAGTTGGTTCACTTCTTTCCGCTTCTTCAAAATCCATAGATCGGGGTAGATTGATAAAAAATTTTTACATATTTAGGACCCTGACCATTATCAGGCCCTTGAAATTTCATTGAATAAAGCTTAAAGGTTTGAAATGGCCAGAGCCAGCTTCTGGGTGCATTCTGCATAATGGTTCACACCTCTGATTTGCTCATCGGGGTCTATGAGCACCCAGCACCTGTGTCTTTGCCAAGACCACGATCAGAGTAGCTAAAGAGGTAGTCAGGGGGATCCCTGGGTGGCGCAGCGGTTTGGCGCCTGCCTTTGGCCCAGGGCGCGATCCTGGAGACCCGGGATCGAATCCCACGTCGGGCTCCCGGTGCATGGAGCCTGCTTCTCCCTCTGCCTGTGTCTCTGCCTCTCTCTCTCTCTCTCTGTGACTATCATAAATAAATAAAAAAAAAAATTAAAAAAAAAAAAGAGGTAGTCAGGGGTAAAAGTGGATTTCTTTCTCATTTAGAATAGTAAATATATCATCTCTCAGAAAGCAAGCTAATCATCTCAACCTTATACTGCAGAACCTTCCTCCTGCTTTTCCCAAACATGGTATTTTACAAAAGGGCAAATCTGCCAGAAAGAGGATCAGGGTGAAGTTTGGCACACAGGGTTTGCTAAATGGGGCAGAAACTGCCTTTTCTTTCCTTTTGTTCCTTCCCCGGCCTTATTTAACTCTCCACTTTCCCCAGTCAATAACCCCCATTAACCCCTCACCCTGGCACCTGGCAACCGCCATTCTACTTTCCATCTCTATGATTTTGACTAAGTGTCTCACATATGATTCTAAGTGGAATCATCCTGTCTTTTTATAACGGGCTATTTCACTCGGCATAAGGTCCTCAAGGTTCTTCTGTGTTGTAGCAGGTGTCAGAATCTTCTCGTAAGGCTGAATAATATTCTATTGTATGCATGTACCACATTTTGCTCATCCATTCATCCACGGGTGGAGAGTGGATTTCTTCAATGTTTAAGTTATTGTGAATAATAATATGGCTATGAACGTGGGTATATAAATATTTCTTCAAGACTCTGCTTTTGGAGCACCTGGGTGGCTCAGTTGGTTAAGTATCTGCCTTCAGTTCAGGTCACTATCTCAGGGTCCTGGGATTGAGTCTCGCATTGGGCTCTCTGCTCAGCAGGGTGTCTGCTTCTCCCTTTCGCTCTCCCTCTGTGCTCTCTCTCTCTCAAATAAATAAATAAAATCTTAAAAAAAAAAGACTCTGCTTACATTTCTTTTGAGTATACAACCAGAAGTGGAATTGTTGGATCACACAGTAATTCTATGTTTACATTTTTGGGGAACCACCATACTGTTTTGCACAGCAGCTATACCATTTTACATTTCCACAAGAGCACACAAGAGTTTCAATGTCTCCACATCCTCACCAACGCTTGTTATTCTCTGTTTTTTTGGATTGCACCCATCTTAAAGGCAGTGCGGTGGTATCACATAGTAGCGCTGTTTTGCATTTCCCTCATGATCACTAGTGTTGAGCATAATGTGCGCATGTATCTTCTTTGAAGAAATGTATTTTCGAGGCAAGTCCTTTGTCTAGTTTTGAATTGAGTTTTTGTTCAGTTACAGCCTCTCTTGGAAAATATCCCATACATTTGAGAAGAGTGCATGTGCTATTGTTCTTGGGTAGAGTATCCTGTATCTGTCGGTCAGATCCAGGAGGCTTATTGTGCTGTTCAAGCCCTCTGCTTCCTGACTTATCTTCCATCTGGTTGTTCTTTTTGTTATCAAGAATGGGGTGTTCAAATCTCCAACTATTATTGTGCAACTGTCTTTTCTCCCCTTCAGTCCTGTCAGTTTTTGCTTCATATATTTTGATGATCTGTCATTAGGTGTAAATGTAGCTGTTATATCTTCTGGCTGTATTGAGCTCTTTATTAATATATAATATCTGCCTTTGTCTCAATCTTCTTTATTGATTTTTTTAAAGATTATATTTATGTATTCATGAGAGACGTACAGAGAGAGAGGCAGAGACACAGGCAGAGGGAGAAGCAGACTCCATGCAGGGAGTGACGTGGGACTCGATCCCGGGACTCCAGGATTACACCCTGAGCTGAAGGCAGGTGCTTAACAGCTGAGCCACCCAGGCGTCCCCAATCTTTTTTGATTTAAAATCCATTTTATTATTATAGTTATATTAGTATATTAGTATAGTTATCCCTGTTCTCTTTTGTTTCACATCTTTTGGTAAATATTTTTTTCCATCCTTTCACTTCCAATACATTTGTATGTTTGGATCAAAAATGGGTCTCTTGTTGACAACATATAGTTAGATTGTGTTTTGTTTTGTCTTGTTTTGTTGTTATTCATTCTACCATTCTCTATCTTTTGATTGGAGAATTTAATCCATTTACTTTTAAAGTAATTACTGTTCAAGAGGGACTTAATTCTGTCAGTTTGCCATTTTTTTCTATGTGCATACTTACAGCTTTTTTGTCCCTCATTTCCTGCACTGCTGTCTTCTATTGTGTTTGGTTGATTTTTTTGTAGTGAAATGCTTAAGTTCCTTTTTATTTTCTTTTGTGTATATTCTAAAGCTCTTTTCTTTGTGATTAACATAGGGATAGCACATACCAACTCAAAGTAATAGCAGTCTAATTTAAATTTATACCACTTTAATGTCAACAACACACAATACTCTGCTCTTTACAGCTCTGTCCTCCGCCCTCACCTCACACATCTTTATATATTGTGTGCCAAGGGGAGGCATTGGGGGATTGGTAGCTGCTACTGTGCCAAAAACTATAATTTACCAAAGTTAACTGCAGCTGATCATCCAAGCCTTCCCCTGACAGTTGTGGCTTTTAGTACATTCCAGAGTTCCAGAATAGTTAGATTAGACAGATGCTGTCAGTGCAATTGTTGTCTGGGTAGGGAGAGAGACTTCTGGTGCTTCCTATGCCACTACCTTCCCAGAATCTCTGTGCTGTTTTCTTTTAGAAAAACTTCTTTCTGAGAAGTGGGACCTATAATAACTGAGGCCCTTCTCAATAAGGACATCTCTGATACAAGAGACCATTTTGCATTCCCTTTTCAATAAAAATCTCTGCCTAAATAAAATTTCCAATCAGACCCCAAATCCATGATGTCACTGAAGCCAGTGTGCATGGTCACATAAAACTCATCTTGTTTTCCACAACAGTCCCCTTGTTAAAATCAAGTTCTGCTCATCTCATGCAAATTATCACTTGTAGAAGAGAAAGGAAGATTTCCTGATAGAGGGACTCACAAGATAAAGAAGCCCAGAGTCATTAGACACAGGAGCAGATGTACCCTGTACATCTGCTTGACTCACACTCATGGTTGCATAAGTAAGATTTCAAAATTAATATTACTCTGGAGACCTCAACCTAGTGTACAATGCTCCTGGTTGGAAAAGAAGAACTATATCATTCTTTTTTTTTTTTTCTCAGATCTTTACCATTACTTGCCGTTGTATCTCCGCCTTCTTTTCTGCAGGAAACATTATTTCCTACTTCTGCACACCAAGTTTCTACCTCTAGATCTGTTTGTTCAGTTGCTGTGAAGCCTGACCTTCCAGTGCCACTTGTAAGAAGCCATCCACTGGTGAGTTGTGGGTGCTTTTTCCATTATTTTATGAATCACAGGCTCAAAGTATCCCAATACTGGAGAAGCAGGGACTGGGAGCACCCTGAAGGTTGCATAGCTCCTCCGGACCCTGAGGGATGGTTCTTGGGGGTAGAAAAGGGTGGAGGGTGGTGTCTGTATCAGAAATGTTGTAGAGGCCTTGATGGCAGTGAACAAGGGCAGAGCAGGGTGAGACCATCCCATAGGGCTCAGGTGAGAGGACAGTATGCTAAAGAGGACAGTCAGGAAAGTAAGGACACTCAGGCTTCTCAGCAGTTTCTCCTCTCACTCAATCCCTGCCAGCCCCTTACGGCTTTAAAGAGCTGGAACTTTCTATCCAAAATACTCCCCCTCCCTCCTCCAGTCCATATATGTGATGGTCCAGGCCCTAAACCAAAATGGACTTCTTGCCTCAATTGAGAAGGCCCACAGGGGCTGAAGTGAGGAATCTACTTTTCCGACAGGCAGCTTTGAATTGATTAAGGAAGTATTCTGACACTTAAAAGTGACACCTTGCAAGTGTCTGCTGTGCCAGGAGTTAGATGTGCTGGAGGGACTGGGGAAAAGTAGTAGAGGAGGAGGTGGCTGGTGGTTGAGAAACCAGTGTAGGTAAACAACAAAGCAGAGAGAACACACGGTGGAAGTGGTCAGGGCAATTCGCCCCCTCTCACCATACCTTCTCCCCCTATCTGAAACACCGGAGGGTCTAGGCTGTGCATTTCTGACTATCAGACTTCCTGTGATACCGAAGCCCAGCATTTGAAAACCACTGGTCCAGTGCATACTTTCCCGTCCAGATGTGGAGGTTAGCCCTGTGGTTGGTTACAGAGCAGCCCAGAGGGTGTGCTGCACTTAAGGGGGTATGTGCAAGGTTACCCAAAATTTTAGTCTTTATACGATCTCACACTGGATTACCTGGGAGGCTAGTCCACAGTGGGACATTGTGTTTCTTGGTAGCTTGCAGCCTGCTGGTTCTTTGTCAATCACTTACTGAAATGGTATTTATTTAGCAGCCTCTAAGTGCCAGATTGGGCTCTGGGGCACCAAGACACCTTATTGCAAGACAAAGGTCTTGGCCCCTGTGGAGCTTATTTGTGTGTGTGTGTGTGTGTGTGTGTGTGTGTGTGTGCTGTGCACACACACACCTCTGCACGCATAGGTGGGGAATGCTTGTATGGGTGAATGTGTGGGTTTTAGGTCTAAATGCCAAAGAAGTTCTGTTGAGGGCATGGAAGCATATCTACAAAATTGTTATCTATTCTATATCCATCCCTGCTCTCCCAGACTGGAGATAGGAGCTCCTGAGTTCTTTTGTAACAGAATAACCCCAGATCCAAAATCCAGCTTAGCTATTACTTGTTTTGTGAGTTTGGGAAAATCATTTAACTTGTCTTTGTTTAAATTTTGAATTACTTCGCTTGTAAAATGTATAAACACTTGCTCACAAAATTTTTGCAAATATTCAACTAATTAATGTATGCAAAGTATTCAGCACAGCACCTGGAGCTTTAGGTGCACATAATTAATGATCATTGCTGTAATTACTTAGGTGGATACTACCCCACCCCTCAGACCTTGATTAGAGGTCTTATTTAGTTGCTGCAGATTTCCAAGAATCTGGCTCAGTGAAATGCAAAATCTATGAGATGAATCGATCATAAGAAAAATAGGAGAATAAGGTGTGTACAAAGATAAAAACCAATTCACAGTCACTAACAAGAAAGAAAAAAAAGAATATTCTTTTTTCTTTTTTAAAAAAAATATTGTATTTACTTATTCATGAGAGATACAGAGAGAGAGGCAGAGATATAGGCAGAGGGAGAAGCAGGCTCCCTGCAAGCTGCCTGATGCAGAACTCAATCCCAGGACCTTAGGATCCTGACCTGAGCCAAAGGCAGACGTTCAATCACTAAGCCACCCAGGTGCCCCCCAAAAAGAATATTCTTGAGAATCAAGCCTAATGATGTTAGATGTCATACTTAGTATAAAGACTTTCATGCATTCTTTCAATGAATATTTATTGGTGCTTCCTTCAGCCAGATAATATCATAAGAGCCAGAGACAGAAACATAATCTGGACTTCAAGGGGCACACAGTGTGTGGGAGATCATGTGATAAGGGCTTGTTTAAAGGCATACACGGTGTTATGAGATGATTCAATTGATTAGAGGAGGCAGGCTTGTCTCCACAGAGAAGGAGAATTTGAGCAAGAGGCACTGGCGGATGACTAGGAGCTCACCAGGCATTTTACACAGAGCGGGCAAGTGTATGCAAAAACCACGGAAGCTGGTGAGTTTGCAGGAAAATAGACAGAAGATTGCCAGGGTGGGAGCACAGGACCTGGAGTTTGAGAAGTGACTGGCGATAAAGCTGGGAAGATGTGAGTGTAGAAAAGACGGACGAGTGGTCTGGGCATTGCCTTTGAGGTCCACCACTTCAAATGCATGGGACCACTGCAGTTCTCAGGTGAGAAGCACCCGCACGGTCCCATTGCAGTGTTGGGGAAGGCAGGTTGAAAGGAGTATGGTCAGGAATAAGCTGTAAGCAAGGCAAGACCATAGCAAAGATGAAAGTGGGGAGCATTTAAGGCAAGGCAGTGGCAGCTGACAGAAATGTAGAGGGGCTGAACCCGGAGGTGTTTATGAGTCAGAATTCATGTGACAATATTAGTGACAGTAGCACAGAGCACATTGTCATGCCAGGTGCTACACTGAGTCTTTATCTCCATCCATCTTTACATCCACTCAGCATAATTAATGTTTTAGACATAAAAAAAAAAGGTTAAAGAAGTAATTAGCCCCAAATGCCACAACTTGTTAGCCGGAGGGTTCAAATCTGGGTCTGTTGGCTCCTAAAGTCTGCCCCTAACCTTCTGAAGAGGAGGGGACCCGAGACAATGCCCAGTCTAGCTTCCTAGACGCTGGAGTCAAGGACATTAGCCAAGATAAAGAGTCCATTAGCTGAAGCACATTTCTGGGGATGTTGAGTTTAGGGTGGGTTTAATTGGAGGTACCTGTGTGATACCCACTTTGCTCACTGCTGTATCGCTAGTTACCTAGAACAGAGTAGGGCTCACGGTAGATGCTCAGTAACACTGGTTAAATGGGGAGCTATGCAGGAGGCTGTAGAGGAAGTGATGGGGAATTCAACTCCAAGATGTAGGGGTTGAAAGGTGGGACCGGAAAGCAGAGCTTTGGGCTGCATTGGCACTCAGGGGGCCTGACACCCTGCAATTAGACAACAGGACCCAGCAAGCACTTCAGAGCGAGAATAAAGAGGTAGCAGGTAAAGAGGTGGCAGCAAAGGATGGTGGTGCCCAGGGCTCCTCTCAGTGCGGGCAGGCGAAGGAGACACCAATAAAGAAAATGAATGAAGCAAGAGGCAGGGGCTAACCTCCTAGAAGCCAAATGAGTTTTAAATGGAAGAACTTCGCAGAAGGATCCAATGTCTCGCAGAGGATGAGGCTAAAGCAGAGCCAGGGCAGTCAGAAGTTGGGTAGTGTTTGCAAACGTTCCAGGAAAGAAAGCTTCGGTGGGGACGTGGAGGCAGAGAGTTGAAAGGGGAGTCAGTGAGAAGGCGTTCAGCTGCAAGTAACAGAACACAGGATTCACAGGAGTTTAAAAACAAGGACTTTTTTTTTTTTTTTCAGGAAGTCAGAGGATGGGCAGTTCAAGGCTGGGCTTATGACTTGGTGGTATTGGGACTTAGCCTTGTGTTGTTGCTCCAGTTCTCTGAGTCTTCTGTTCAGGGCCCCCAACACCAAGCCCTCACTAGACAAGCGCCAGAAGCAGAAGGGTCAGGCCCGGGCTTCCGGTGCATCTCTCCTGTCAGAGCAGAGCATTCCTGGAGGCCCCCTCACAGATCGCCCTTCCTCAGGTCACAGGCCTGTGTGCCCCCTGCAGAGGAGGCAGAGAGGCAAGTGTGCAGCTTGGGGAACTGTATCATGAGAAGTCGGATCCTCCAAGAAGGCCCAGCCTGTTGAGAAATGGCTGGCGGGGAGAGACAACGAGCATCTGCTCCCAGGAGTAAAGGGAAGTGACCAGCCAGCATGAGAGCTTTCCAGGCCGTGGCTGCAGAGCAAAGATAAAGACTGGGCCATCGCTGAAGCGGAGCCAGGCTATTTTGCAGGTCAGGGATGGCAGCCCTTACGTGATGTGTTATCATTTGTTCCCTGATTACAGGTCGGAGGAAGATGGGTGACAATGGCACCTTCTCCCAGGTCAGCCACAACATGCTGTCCACATCGCATTCTCTGTTCACAACCAACATCCAGGGCAGCGATGAACCCACCACCATTTACGACTATGATTACAGCGCGCCCTGCCAGAAGAGCAGCGTGAGACAGGTCGCCGCCGGGCTCCTGCCTCCGCTCTACTCACTGGTGTTCATCTTTGGCTTCGTGGGCAACATGCTGGTCGTCCTCATCCTCATCAACTGCAAAAAGCTGAAGAGCATGACTGATATCTACTTGCTCAATTTGGCCATCTCGGACCTGCTCTTCCTTCTCACCATCCCATTCTGGGCCCACTACGCCGCGAACGGGTGGCTCTTGGGGGAGGTGATGTGTAAGTCATTCACGGGGCTATATCACATTGGGTATTTTGGCGGGACCTTCTTCATCATCCTCCTGACCATAGATAGGTACCTGGCTATCGTCCATGCTGTGTTTGCTTTAAAGGCCAGGACGGTCACCTTTGGGGTGGTGACAAGTGGGGTCACCTGGATGGTGGCTGTGTTTGCCTCTCTGCCCAGGATCATCTTCACCACGGTGCAGATAGAAGATTCCTTTTCCTCCTGCAGTCCTCAGTTTCAACAAGCATGGAAGAATTTCCATACAATAATGAGGAGCGTCTTGGGCCTGGTCCTGCCCCTGCTGGTCATGGTCATCTGCTACTCGGCCATCCTCAAGACCCTGCTCCGCTGTCGAAACGAAAAGAAGAGGCATAAGGCTGTGAAGCTCATTTTCGTGATCATGATTGTTTACTTCCTTTTCTGGGCTCCCAACAACATCGTCCTTCTCCTGAGCACCTTCCAGGAGTCCTTTAACGTGAGCAACTGTAAGAGCACCAGTCAGCTGGACCAAATCATGCAGGTTACAGAGACCCTCGGGATGACCCACTGCTGCGTCAACCCCATCATCTACGCCTTCGTCGGGGAGAAGTTTAGAAGGTATCTCTCCTTGTTTTTCCGAAGGCACATCGCCAAACACCTCTGCAAACAGTGCCCTGTCTTCTATGGAGAGACTGCAGATCGAGTGAGTTCCACATACACGCCTTCCACGGGGGAGCAAGAGGTCTGGGTTGGCTTGTAAATGAGTAGCAGTTTGTTTCTTACTTTAAAGGGGGATGGCAATCTGTACATAATAAGCCTCAAGGGTCTATTGCTGAAGAGAGGCCTGTGAGTCTCTGAGGCGAGTCCCCGGGGCCTCAGGGTATTGAGCACCACCTACAGACTTCGTCCCTCGCTGTGTAGCCAATGCGCACTCAGGGGATATTCCAGAACAACCGTGGATAGAGACTTCTCCAGCAAGCTCCTCCCAGTTCCTGGAACACACCACATCTGGAAAATGCTTCTGTGCTTCCCTGAGCCTTCACCTTTGATTGCTTCTCTGGCTCTGCAATGCTATACCTTTGGTCAGGGGCCCAGCTGGACACTGGCAGATGGCATGAGGGCACGTGGGGTCAGGGCTGAGTGCCAGGGGTGGGGGGTGTGGTCAAGGTGTGAGCCTGGAAGAGGAGGATGGCAAGGGCTTCCCTAAGCCCAGCCAGACAGCCCCACCTCTCACCCTTGTTAGCTTGGAAGGCCTCACCTGCTCAGGGAGAGCTTGGGGACTGCAAAACTCTTTGACAGCTTCATTTGGGTCTGATCGTCCTCTTCTGTGTAAATACACGATCCATTTTTCTTTGTTGGCGATTTATTTGTGACAACCACGCACCCTACATTTGAAATGTGTTAAGTATCAGGCACTACTGTTGACGTGCGTCTTTAAGCCACATCCCCCTATGTAAAAATGTATGAACAGTTTTGTTTATAAAATAGGTGTCAGCTATGAAGAGATGAAAAATAAAGCTCTTGTTTGCTGTGCCCAGGGAAAGGGGAGGTTTGCTGGTAGTGATGGGGAGAAGGTATGAAGGCAGATGAGATCCTGCCTCAGGAGGGCAGGGGCTGTAGTGAGAGCTCAGGAGGATGTGTGAGGCCCAGCCCAGCAATGTTTCCAGAATCAGCTAGGAGAAGAGGCCAGGAAGGATGTGTCAGAACCATAGAAGCCTCAGGTCTTTGGATCTGCCTGTCCCTGCTTCCTGCCACCCTGGCCCCATCTGTCACCTCACCCCCAGCCCCCAGCCCCGTCTCCTGCCCAGAGGACTGCCCTACACCTGAGCCACTTCATGGAGGTTCAGAAGAGTAGCCTTGGGGAGTATAAAACGGTACAGCCAGAACCCTCAGGGGGCCCTGGAGAGGGGGAGCAAATATGTGGGGGCCCTGGGGTATATTGCCAGGCTGGACAAGGAGCCAAGACTTGAGAGAAGTCCTTGCCTTAGAAGTCATATGCCAGCCTGTGAATCTCGGGATCTAACCAGATGGGGCAAACCTACACAAGAAAGACTCTGGATGGGTCAGGGAAGTGTTTTCCAAACTCCCTTCAAGCCCCTCATTTTTGGATACAGGCATAGAGTTTGCATATGTTAAAAAAATCATAATAAAGTAAAAAACAGAAGTAAAGCTGAAACTATAACTTACAAATGGGGCAGAGTATCATTTTAAGAGTTGCTATTATGTCCAGCCTGAATATACTGTATTAGTCCTAGAGAGAACTCTGGTTGTGAGCTTAAAATGTTGGAGCCTGTGGTATGTTTGGGAGACTACCAATTCAACATAAATAGTTGATCAGAGAGTCCGGTGTCTGCGGTCTACTGCCTACTAGCCTATGATGACGTAGAGTCTAACTGGGACCATTTGGATAGTAGCACGCACTCCACAGGTCATATCTTGGCCTTGCTGCCACAATCCTTGTGTGTCATTATGATGCCTAGGAAGTCATGGATCTAATCATCTTCAAATGCTTCAGTGCTTTGCAGACCATTCATGTACAAACTGTCTGGTTGGGTGTGGGAACTCCTAAATCACACTGACCCCTAATCAAACTTTTAAACTCGATTTGTAAAGGAAGGGAGTTGGGTCACTAAGTCAGCAAAGACTTTTGTCTTGGCTGAACCAAGTTAAGAACGTACACACGTTACCCAGTGTATTTCTGATATGACCCAAGCAGGAAACACAGGACTTCTGGAACCTGGCAGCTTGGGAACTGTAAGTGACAATGGTTCCCCTTTCCTTCTTTGTGGCTAGAGGTTTCAGAAAGAAGTGTGTATGTTTGGGGTTAGGGAGAGCATGCTTCACTTTCCAATATCTGTAGCATCCTAATGAATGCATGAAAGTTTGTTTGGATGATGAAATGTAAATATTGGGGTTATTTTTGTTTGTTTTGCTTTGTTTTTAAAGATTTCATTTATTTATCATGAGAGGCAAAGAGGAAGACAGAAACATCGGCAGAGGGAGAAGCAGGCTCCATGCAGGGAGCCCAATTTGGGACATGATCCCAGGACTCCGGTAACATGCCCTGAGCTGAAGGGAGATGCTTAACCGCTGAGTCTCCCAGGGGTCCCAATCTTGGGTTTTTTTTTAAGCTATGATTTGGAAAATAAATTAATGTCCTAACTACATTGTTGTTTACAAAATGATCTGATTAGGACTCCCCCCTGCTGCACCCCCACCACAGGCTCTCGCAACCACTATTCTGTTCTATACATCCATGATTCTGACTATTTTAGATAACTCATAGAAGTGGAATTGTGTAGCTTTTGTCCTTCTATGAAGGTTTTATTTCACCCAGCATAATGTCCCCAATGCTCACCCATGTTGCTGCATATGGCAGGACATCATTTTTTATAAGGGCGAATAAAATATTCCATTGCATGTATATGCTGCATCTATTTTATACATTTATTAATGTGCATAAAATTTCAGTTATACAAGGTGAGACATTCCAAACATCTGCCTGACAACGTTGTACATGTTGATGCAATACCGTATTGTACACTTAAAAATCTGTTAAGAGGGTAAATGGCATGTTCAGCATTCTAACAATAATAATAATAAAAACTGCCTATTTTGTTATTCTGTGGTGTGGTAGATTGTCTTACTGTTCACCACTTTTCATTCCTTCCCTTGTGTGATGACACATGTCTGTCCTTGCAGTGTGACTTGCAGTGTGCCCTACAGGTGTCCTCCCCTGCCCCATCCATGGGAGGCTCGGCCACCAAAGAGTGAGCAGAAGTGCCATCTGTTTCATCTATACAGAGTAGTAGAAGTGACTGGGCTGAGGCTCTACTCTCCATGCTCAGCCACGGGAAGGTCCACCCCAGGCAACACCAGGTCCCATAAAGAGCCATCAAGAAGACATAGAGAACAGAACCAGAGCCCTGAACACAAGAGGTCCATGTTTGCTCTTTTAAGCCACTGTGGCAGCTGCTTGCCAAGAAGCACAGAGGCTAATTAGTACATACAATGCATAGTGGCTTCATAAATGCAAATTGGAAAAGTATCCATTTGTCATTCCATCATGGAATTTGGTGTGGCAAACACACCTGAGGATCTATCCTGTGCTGGTCTGGGTCCGGTACATAAAGATGGCTGTGTTAATTCCCATGTTCTTAGATCCCTCTAAGTGCAGGGACGGGGAGAGTAGGAGGGGCAGAGAAAGGGGAGCCCAGAGGAGAGAGTAACTAACTCAATGAAGGTCCTACATCACCACAGTAATAGCTACCATAGGGTTTTACTGCCACCAGAGAATCCACCACATAAAAGCTGCCTACTATCTCCATTTCTAGCAGTGGGAGCCTGGTCTTCTTATCCCGAGGTGAATGTTAGAGTGGGTTGAATCAAGCAGATATCAGGGAAGAGAAGCATCCCCAGGGATGGGTAGCTTAAGACTTCTGGTGGAGCCACCTCCTGGGAATGAGCCACCCAGACCCCATCTTCTCGGCTTTGCCTTTTCACATTATTAGGATTTCCCTAACAAGTTGAAATGGCTTCGGGGTGGATTACCAGTAGCAGCAGCAATGGCCACCAAGAGGAAGCTGGTCAGAGAGAAGAAGTCTCTGGGCAGGCATAAAGGTGATCACTAGGAATCTAGGGAAGGACTGGCCCTGGGTTTGGTGAGTGACTGAGGCTGGAAATATCTTCAGACATTGTTACTTTGACACTATGTTTGTGACTTGACCCAGGGGTGTTCTCCTGTCCTCAGGACCTCCTTGCAGCCTTGCTGCTATGCCTTGTCTCCTCCCTCTCCTCTCTCCAATAACCTCTTCGCCTGCTCAGCCAGCCTGCTGTCTAGTGGACGCCCCTCCCAGCAAGGAGATGCTGGCCTCCCCTTCTTGCAAGTCCCCATCCTTCACCTGATTGTCCCAGACTCTGTGCCCTTGGATTAGAGGAGAAGACTCCCTGCCACTCACCTTCCGCATCAAGCCCACCCATTTCTACAACCCATTCCGGCACACGTTTGTCTCCTTATAGGACAGGGGTGGGAGAAGTTGACATGGCAACCATGGGCACAGAGCTGATTCTTTCACCCTAGGAAACCTCTAGGAAGATGTGTGACCCCAGGTGTCAGTGGTTTTCCTTAGAACTCTAAGGTGCTTAACACCTCTCTGCCCTCAGCCTCAGGCCATAACTGCCAGTTCTAGGGCAACAGAAAAGGTCCTGCATGATATCCTGTTTTGCACAGGTTGAATACAGAGGTCAGGTGCGATCCGATCCGAAGTCACAATGGGCCTATTGCACACCTTAATCAGTGTACTGCATTGCAAAAGCTCCATGTCTGGGCACTGATTTGAAAGAAATACCCAAAATGCATAGAACAGACTTCCCAGCTGAGTTAAAGGGTTTCCACCGCATGTGGACACAGCTAAGTAGCAAGGAGGTAGACAATTCGCAAATGTCTACTTGGTTTGGTGGTTTGCACAGGGCCTGGGGGTTGTGGTGCAGAGGCTGGGAAGGAGGTCATTCCAGGAAGGACCTGGAGGACAGAGACACTGGGGGTAGAGAGGACAGCATGATGGTCTCCAGCCCCACTTGCCATGAATCTATCTGAGGCTAAAGGTTAAGTAGCAAGGGGAGCCATGTCCCCTAGCATCATTGCTAAGGCACACAGGTGACCAAACGTGACACTCATGGTAGAGAGGGATTCTTCCTCTTTCTTGTGGACCATGGGGATTCTCTGACTGTCTTGGAAAAGATGATTTTGGGGACACTGGGAGCATCCTCCTTGGTGTGGCATCAGAGCACTGCCCACTGCACTGAAAATAAATAGGCAGTCCATAATCCTGATCAATGGAAAGATCATGAATGTCTAATAACAGAAATCTGTCAAGTATGGTTATGGTATTATATGGAACAAAAGAAGCCAGACACAAAAGAGAATAGTGTCTATGATCCCATGTATATAAATTTAAAGGAGAGGCACATGATGATCTGTGGCGATAGAAGTCAGAGCAGCCCTTACCGCTGGGTGTGGTGCAAGGGCACGTTCTGGGGTGACAGGATGATTCTCTATCGTCTCGATCTGGGGGGGTTGGTTATGTGAGTATATGTATATCAAAACTTGACCAAGTTGTGTACCTAGGATTGGTGCACTAGCTGCATCTAAATTATACTGCCATAGAAAGAAAAGAAAGAAAGAAAGAAAGAAAGAAAGAAAGAAAGAAAGAAAGAAAGAAAGAAAGAAAACAATTTTACCTGCATGAAAGTAACGATAACAATTATATAGAGAACTTTTTAATAACATGGAGAAGTGCCTATATTTTTAACTTTTTTTAAGATTTTAAAAATTTATTTGAGAGACGGATTGAGAGTGGGAGGAAGGGCAGAGGAGAAGGAGAAGCAGACTCTCCGCTGAGCATGGACCTCCATCCCAAGACCCCGAAATCAAGACCTGAGCAGAAGGCAGACACCTAACTGACTGAGCCACCCAGACATCCCCATACTGGAGAGAGACAGAGGGAAGTATATAGAACTGGTTTATGTGTGGGAACAATTAAGCAAAAAAGTATACATGGGAAAATGTCTGGATTGAAGCACATCGTATGCTAAAAAGTATTCTTTTGAGATTGTGAGAATGTGTCTGATTTTTTCTTCCTACTTTCTATTTTTTCTGTTTTTCCCAACTCCATACAATGAGCATGTGTTGGTTTTATTAGACATTTGTTTTAAAAACGAAAAGATCTTCACACAGCACATCTCACTGTTGCCTGGCATTGACCTTCAGGCAGGCTGGATTGTGTGTGTGTGTGAGCTGCCGTGTGGCAGGCGGCGGGAGCTATGCTCACGAAGTTGACCCCCTGAACCCAAGGAGGAGAACCATCCCATGGCTGATGCTCTGCAAGAGTGGAGCGATCCGTGCAGCCTGAATTCAATGTCTGGACACTGAGCAGCTATTATTCAAAGACTGGCCAGCTCTCCAAAAGGAGGGTAGGTGCAAGACATCCTCCAATATGGGCATGGAGTCTAGAGCAACAAACAGGGCAAAAGATCATTTCTAATGGGGACTCTGAATGCCATTCCTGGGAGAACAAGAGCCCTACAAACAGGAGGAAAGTCTTAAGATAATCCGAGACCAAGAAACTCAGGCATTGGCATGCCAGGCTGAAATGTTTCCTTGATTCAAGGCTAAAGAAGTTCCCATGGGTCCTCACCTCTTCACTTCACCTCCTAGAGGTGAACTTTCATCTCTAGAGGTGACCTGAATCCACCTCTGGACCCAGAAACCCGAAAAGGGTGACACACCCGCTAAGCTGTGCTTCCATTTTTGGTCTATGAATCTTCACCTCGTTTCCCCTCCAATTTGTATTGTCCCAACCGCTTGGCCATAGAGTTATCCAGTATTGAATGGAGGAGCTGCCTTGGGGATCCCCAGGTCTAGCACATCACCCTACTGGTGAGGATATGGAAGCTCTCAGAGAGGGGAAGTATCTTGCCAAGGGCATACAGGGAGTCAGCAGCACCTTCTGGGACTCCAAGCCAGCACCACTACCCCATACTGCCCTCTAAGGGCAAGCATGCCATCACATCCTCAGATGCCCTGACCAGGGACACCCAGAACCCAATTTGGGGGTGAAAGAAAGACCCAGTTGCTGTCACGTACAGAAATGAAACATTTATCCAGCAGTATCTAAGAGTTCTACACACATTACCACCAGTGAACACAAGGCTGCTCTCCAGAAGATCAAAACTATTTATGCCACCTATTTTCTAAAAAAGTTTATATGGATTTATTTGCAATCCATTGTGTGAACCCACAATTCTGTGAAATATAAGGCATCCTTAGAGAGTCCACAGGGAGCCTCTATCTGTGAAGCACCCTACCCTTGTTATATCATTTGATCTTGACCACAGACCTATCAAGTAGGTTTGTGTTTGTGTTTTTTTTTTGTGCGCCCCCCCCCCCCCGTTTTATAGATAAGAAAACTAAGGCTTGAGGAGTTTCGGAAGCTCATTCAGAGTCAAGTGAAATATGATGAAGCTGGGACTTAACCCCAGAGCATGTCTGCAGAGTTGGGTTCTTAATCATTGCCTCCTGACTTACACATGCAGGATGAACTTAAAGATATTTTTCATGATTCACTGTCCTGTTTATGACGACCAGTTGTTGGGTTGTTGGGCTTTGTTGTAAAACAGACGCACGCCCCTGGATGGGTGGTCATTGATTGCTGGGCTGTTTCTGCACTTTTATGGCTGCCCCAACCATCATCTCCTTCTCCTCTATTCTCCAGGCACCAGTCCCTAGCTTCACCCCTGAAGCTTTCAGGCTGCTGATAGTACTCTGCTCTAGACAAGGACCCTGGGAACCAATTATGTTGAAAGTTTATCAAATAAACTCTCCCCAGGAAAGGATCACGAGTGACTAGGAGTTTGATGTTTACCAAGTAGATTTTAGGTGCTAAATTCTGGGTGTGGCTGCCCGACGTGCCCCTTCCCACAAACCCATTATTCAGCCCACTGCCCGGATGGGAAGTCTGAGGGTAGGGCAGAGCTTCAAGCTTGGGCCATCTGGCTGCAGAGGCCACGTGCTTCACCCTGTGCTATGCTGCCTCCACAGGGTTTGTGGTGTCTCCGCTGCCCTCTCTTAGACCTCAAGCACATGCTTCTGATTCTGAAGTGGAGGAAGTAGAAGACCCCAGAGGGCGCTCTTGAGGCCCAGGGTGGCTCTCCACTGTTCTCAGCTGCTGTCAATAGTTGAGGTTTTTAGATAAATCACCAACCACCAAGAAAGCTCAATGTGCCTGCATGTGCTATTGTCATATACTTCTGAATGTGACATTCTTCTTCCACCAGTTGCTGCTCATTTTATGTGGACAATCTCTCACAGCTGCAGATAGACTGTGTCCTTGGAGGCAGGACCTGTGCTGCCTGTATCTCTGGTATAGTGCAGGCACTCACGGATGCCTGCTGGTTTGGAGGGCTGCAAAACAGTAACTGGGTGGAGGAAGTCCGTAATGACATGCCCCACGACCCCAAGGAAGATGGGCAACATGTTTAGCTCACAGGTGAACCTACAATGGAAGCCCTTTAACTCTAAGGCAAAGGAGGGTAACTGAGGGGGAGACAATTAGAGAGGAAGACAAATCATGAGAGACTCTGGGAGCCAGACGAAGGGTTGCAGTAGGAGAGGTGGGTGGGGGTGGGGTGACTGGGTGATGGGCACTAAGGAGGGCATTTGATGGGATGAACACTGGGTGTTCTAGTGTATGTTGGCAAATTGAACTTAAATAAACATAAAATAAAATAAAGCTCTTTAGACAACCAGTTGTTTTCATTTGCAGAGAAAAATAGTACCAGGGGTGGGGTGGGGTATGGGTGTGAGCTGGGGTAGGCACAAGGATGGGGCGGGGGGGGGGAGAAGGGGGTAAACGCAACCATGGGTTTAATGGGAAGCATTCTTATCTCAATTTCAAGTTGGTCTCCGTGGCTTTGATTGAGGACAGATATTAAGAGAACCAGAATCTCTCTTGTGTAGCCTCACCTTTTGATAAGCCCTGTGGTCTTATACAAAAAATTCATTGGCCTCTGAAGCAGCAGTTTCTTTCAGCAAAATGAGGGATTTTGACACAATAAATGTGAATGTTCTTTCAGTTCTAATATCCTTCAATCATTATTTCCTAACAGATTCTGTGTAGTTGGATGAGCAGCAAACAAAAGAAAATAGCGTAATGAGGAAGCTCATGAGTCAACATCCAGTCCAGAAATTTAGTCTCCTTTATTTTAAGTTCAATTGAAGAAACAAGAAAAAGAAGAACTGTGCTCTGATTTTTTTTTTTTTTGGCCAGGCAATATACTTATTCACTAAAACTCCACCTCCCCCTTGCTGTAGAAACTGTGCATTTCCTACTTTTATGCTGCCTATATGTTTTATTTGCACAGCTCAGCTGGTCAGAGGAGCTGAGACATCCGTCCCCCTACGAGAACCCTCCTGGTAAGTCACTTTTCAGCTACTTTGCCTGTTAGGTAGCTCAGCTTCTATGATGAGTAACAGGCTTACAGGAAACCCATAGAAGACATTAGACAAACACCAGGTGCCTCTAGAGCTATCTTGAAACATAATCTTTGAGAGAAGAAAAGAGAATTTAGAATGAGTTTTAGACTGTGATAACATCGAAGATACAAAATACAATTGTGAATGAAAATTATAAAGGAAGCAATGTTAAAAAGAAAAGAAAAAGTGAGTGAGAGAGAAAGAGAGAGAGAGAGAGGAGAAGCTTCATCCTTCAAAAGAAAGATTATCAAGAGAGATGATTCTTGACCAAAATCTTGGCTGAGATTATCTTCTGGTAAGAAGAACTGAAACCCACCCCCCAACCCCTGGCGGGATGCCCTCTGAATGTGTTTCCAAGCAGAAGTTGTAAGTAAGTCTCCCCTTCTGTTTGTTTGTTTGTTTCCCCCAAAAAGAGAGAAGCTAAAAATTGTCCAAATTAATATCAACTGCAAATAGCAAATAAAGTTTCCCTTTATCAGTTCCATAGCATATTTAGTGTGTGAGTCTTGTCTCAGAATTTAAGATGAAAGTTCCTGTATGCTTCTCCTACCTGCCTAATCTGAGGCCCAGGGGACTTGAGACCCTCAGGGATAAATTAAAGAAACTTCTCAGCCAAGCAACGGAACTGGAATAGACCAGGCAAAGCCAGGTCCTGAATGTGGCTGAGCAAACCCAGAATGTGGTGGCGGATGAAACGTTTTACACCTGGCCATTTCTCGTGTATGTGTGGAAGCTCTAAATCTTTGCAATTCAGGAACTATAAAAAATGCAGAGCAGGCATGAGACTGGCAGTCTGGACTTTATAGCTGGCTGCCGGCTCCTGCCACCTTCTCGGGGGACTTGGGCTTCAGCCCATTTCATCATGACTATGCCGAGACACCAGGCTGGTGATGCCGCACTGCAGTTACCACACTGACAAGTGAGAGATGGGGTGGCTGGTGGGTAAGAGCACAGGCTGCCTGCATTCGACATTAGTTGCTTCCTAGCTGTGTGTCTTTGGGCAAGTTACTCAGCCTCTATGTGCTTTGAGGTTCTTATCTGCAAAATGGGGACAATTACATGACCTGACTCATACAGTGACATTGAGGATTAATTGAATGAATGGATGTGATGCTCAGAACGTTGGTTGGCCCAGAGTGCTTTTGGGAACGACTAATGGTTTAGCACACTGGGGGTGATGCTCTTGTAAGGTCACTGCAGCATAGGTTGTAAGACAGTGTTGGACAGCACCTGAGTCAATTTCTTGAAATTGTTATCAAAGCTTCATTTGCTCCCCGAGGCTACAGAGCACTAGATTTTATCTGGTCCGCCAACACATTTGTGGATTTCCCCAAGAGTCATGCTCTCTGTCTGGTGAGTAGAGATGCTAGTGGTGATCCCCTCCTTTCCTGCAAAAGTCCTTTGTTTGGCCAAACAAGGGAGCTCCGTGAAAGGTGACATCATTATACTAAGGTTGAGCGCCTGTTCGTGTTTAAGTCAGTTTGTGCTCGTGATGGACTGCTTGGTACCTTCTAGGCCTTCATAAAAGATCACTTTTTCTTTATTCACAGGGTCAAGCAAAATGAATTATCAAACATCCACTCCATACTATGACATTGATTATGGGACATCAGAGCCCTGCCAGAAGGTCAATGTGAGACAGGTCGCCGCGAGGCTCCTGCCTCCGCTCTACTCACTGGTGTTCATCTTTGGCTTCGTGGGCAACGTGCTGGTCGTCCTCATCCTCATAGACTGCAAAAAGCTGAAGAGCATGACTGATATCTACTTGCTCAATTTGGCCATCTCGGACCTGCTCTTCCTTCTCACTATCCCGTTCTGGGCCCACTACGCTGCAGACCAGTGGTCCTTTGGAAATAAGATGTGCCAACTTTTGACAGGGCTCTATTATATAGGCTTCTTCACTGGAAACTTCTTCATCATCCTCCTTACCATGGATAGGTACCTGGCTATCGTCCATGCTGTGTCTGCTTCAAAAGTCCGGACAGTCACCTTTGGGGTGGTGACAAGTGGGATCGCCTGGGTGGTGGCCGTGCTCGCCTCTTTCCCCAGGATCATCTTCACCAGATCCCAAAAAGAGGGTTCTCGTTTTACATGCAGCCCCCATTTCCCACCCAGTCAGTACCATTTCTGGAAGAACTTCCAGGCGTTAAAGATGAGTGTCTTGGGCCTGATCCTGCCCCTGCTTGTCATGATCATCGGCTACTCGGCCATCCTCAAGACCCTGCTCCGCTGTCGAAATGAAAAGAAGAGGCACAAGGCCGAGAGACTCATTTTCGTGATCATGATTGTTTACTTTCTTTTCTGGGCTCCCTACAACATCGTCCTTCTCCTGAGCACCTTCCAGGAATTCTTTGGCCTGAATAATTGCAATAGCTCCAACAGGCTGGACCAAGCAATGCAGATTACAGAGACCCTAGGGATGACCCACTGCTGCATCAATCCCATCATCTATGCTTTCGTTGGGGAGAAGTTTAGAAGGTATCTCTCCTTGTTTTTCCGAAAGCACATTGCCAGACGCTTCTGCAAATGCTGCCCAATCTTCCAGGGAGAGCTCCCCGACAGAACAAGCTCAGTTTATACTCGATCCACTGGGGAACAGGAAATCTCTGTCGCCTTGTGACCTGGACTAGGTTTTTGTACACAGCCTGGGGGTGGGAGTGTTGCTTTTAAAAAGGAAGTTACTGTCATCTAGGGTCTAAGGTTCATTCACCCATCCGGCATCTCTTTTAAGTATATTAGATCATTTGAAGCCATCACTTCCAGAGAGTCAAATTGATATACATTGATGACATAGCAACCTTCTCATGTCCCCACCACGCACATCAATTTATTGGCAAATCTCCCTTCATTGCAAAAGCTCTTTATAAAAAAAAAAATCCTCTGAGAACTGCTGATTCTTGAGTTTGGTTTCTTAAACAAAAATAACAAAATTAATCAAGAAATATATTTTATAGTTTCATACCTGCTCCAGGCAACAGGTTGCAAATGGGCTTAAAGCAGGTCCTTGTCAGTCCTTGTCATGATGGGTTAGGAAATAACATCTTCTAAGTGCAATTTGCCCTGCAAGGTGTGGTTGGTAAGTTCCACAGATGTTCAGGACCAGGTGAGAACTGGGAAAGCTTCTTTGGTGAGAAGGGGATCCTCTGTTGGGCAAGGGGAGGGAAACTGAGCTCCAGGTTGCAGACCCAAAACACTTGGAGTGGCTTGGCAGTGGAAGGACTGGCACTGGCTGGGCAGGGAAGGTAAGCCTGGACCATGGGGAGCATGCACAGCACCACTTGTCAAAGCCAGAGCAGAGAGTACCCCAGCAGCCATTGCAGTGAGTTCATTGCACGGCCAAAGGATGGCCCAGAAAGGTGACAATTTAGGACAGGGAAACCAAGAACATGCAGGTGAGATGAGGAGGCTTCCATGTAGGTCCAGGCACCAGGGATGGGAAGCAGAGAGTATTTTCACAGCATGTAGGGTGAGAGCGGAACTTAGGATGGATTTGGGTTTGAGGTAAGAGACAGAGAGGAGACAAACAGAACCTCCAGGCATCAAGCATGCAGACTGGAGACGCCCTAAGGAAGACTTCAAGCATGGAAAGAGGATGAGGTTTAGGTCAAAACCAGGAGGGGCTGGTGAAAGAGGAAGGATCTGATTTTGTGAGGTTGAACATAGCCTTCTGTAGACAGAACCTGGGCTGTCTGAGTGGCTGCTCCTGCCCTCAGAGCTGTCCTTTCCAGCCCAGCTCCAACAACGGGGTGTCTCCAGGAGGCTTGGAAACACTAGATTTATGAATGCGTGAGTCTGAGGTCCAGGAACAATTGTAGGTCCAATATGATTTCCAGGTGAAGGCTGACTGCATAATGAACTGCCAGAGCTTTATAAGCATTAAACTAAGAGGTCCTGACATAGAGAAGGAAGCCCGAATAACTACGTTTCTGGCCTCCCAGGACTCACCACGACGTACACATTTTTTCAGTAGGCTGAGGGCAGAAGGGACAGATTGATTTGGAAACAGGCCGCCTCCTGCTTAATCAGTCACAAAAAGCACAGCTTGTGGACCTTTGTGTTTCAGGCTGAGTGTGGTGGCTTTAGACACTCCTTCCAGCTGCCATCTCCAAGACAAATCGTCCCCAAACACTAAGGGATACGTTCATGTCAGAGACAGAGTCATGACTTCATGTTCTGCGGTTGCTACTTTTATTGTTTGGTACCTGCCTGAGGTTGTTTTGAAGCTAGGAAATAGCTCAGACCATTTGGAAAAGATTAGGTGATGGATCATAAAGGAGTGAGAGTCGCTCAAGAGTTTAAGGTGTGAGAATCATAAGAGGCGCTGCGGACTTTCCTCAAGCTCTGAAATACGAAATGGGAGGGCATGGGTGTCAATGGGGAGCAACCAGAGGTGCTCTTAAGGTTGTTTCGAGGGTGTAAGTATCATATGACCCTGGCCTCTGGGTTAACTCAAAGACATTCTGATATTTTTGTGTATGGATATATATCATACATGTATGTGATGATCTTATGTACATAGAGAGTTACAAATTGCTTGGAAGAAAATCTTTACCTAATAAAAACCACGTCTAAAATAATTGATTATATTCTTGCTCTTTCAGTGAAGTGCACATTTAGAGACTAGCATATGAATTTTTTTGGTTTTTTTTAGCATATGAATTTTTAGATAGTTTAATTCTATATACACTTTTACAAATATATTACATATATTAAAATACGTATTTATTTATTATTTTATTATTTTTTAATTTTAATTTCTTCCCTGGGTCAAATTGCCAGAATAATTTGAGGATGCTGCCTCTAAGGGTAGCGCTTCTGAGCAATGGACACTCAAAATGTTTAAATTTTTCACTTAATTCTACTTCCCGAGCAAAGATCTGACATATTTAAAAAAAGAAAAGAAGAAGAAATTTGATGTCTGTTTCTGCACATGCCAGCTGTCTGTGTTTGACAATGAAAAAGGCATAATGTCACAGCCTGGTCATTTCTGTCATCCTAAATTGCAGATGCATGATGCATGAGGATGGCCACTATACAGGTTGCTTTTCTTTCATTTCAAATCCCTTCCCAAAACTCGGCTGTAATTGCAGTGATGACAATGCATTTGTCATTGACATTTGGATTTCTGTACACATGCCTCTTGTCCCCAGAGAGGACAGGTACTCCAGGAAAAGGTGACCGGTCCAGTCACATTCACAGTTTAGAGCCTGTTGGTTTTTAGGCTCTTACCTTCCAGAGTAGGTTCACCATCCCACCTCGAGGTCAGTGGAATGAGCAGAAGACATGGATAGCGGGAACAGTCACAGGGGTTGGCTTTTCCTCAACAACCTGAAGGATTGCCTTCCACCCCTTATCATGAGGAGGCATGACCCAAGGAAGGGCAGAAAGCGGCTGAATCCGAGTAGAAGAGTCCAGGGCACACTCCCATCGTCCCTGCACTCCTCACTTTGCAGCACCCTCCACTGCCCACCCTCCTCTGCCCCAGCCCTTAGATTGACAAACCAGTTGGGATTCATGGTGACCTTCCGGTTCTGGCTCCACTCACTCCCCAGCCCAGAGGCCTCAGTCATGGAGGGGGTCATATCTGTGCCATGGATAAAGTCAAAGTAAAGTGAATGTCCTTGGCAGGGATGGAAAATGTGCAAACTCATAAGTTTGGATTCTACTCACACTTGTATTCCAAGATTCTAGCTTAAACACCTCCAGTTCGAGTAAAGTGCATTGGCCTCTTCACTGTTAGGATGAAATCAAGTTATTTCTCTTCTATCCAGTGGAAGGAGGACACAGTCCTATACATAAACATCGACTTCTTAGTGTTGACCTTCTGATGAAGACACAGGGCTTACCTCTGGCTACACTGGAGGCTGGAAGAGGAGATGTGAGCGGGAGAGTGACCGTGAACTTCCTGACTGCTCCCACTCACAGCCTGTTCACGTACTCACCAGCTTACCCTCAGGGTGCAGAGACCTCCCATAACCCAAGGTTTGAGTGTGCCAAGGCAGAAACAAGAAAGCATTTCCAGAGATCCTTTACTTTTAAGTAAAACTCGCTATGGAAGTCTGGCTTGTATTTTTCCAAAACACAGTCAAATTTGGTTTCGTTTCCCTTTCCTACGCTGGTACCCAGTTTTTCAAACACTTTCCAAACTGCAATCAATGAACAGGTCTACAGAGCCAGTAAGAACCTTGGGCTACATTGCCCCCCTGTGGCCACCATGGCAACCAACAAGGGCATCCCGCAGCCTCACCTGGACCGCAGAGCCTATCTTCCACGCGGAAAAGTTTACGTTCAGCTGTTTGTGTTTGTCTCTGCTGGCACCCTCCCTGTTGTGGACAAAAGGTATCTCCACAACAGCTCAGAGTAGGTAATACTCGATTCTTGCTGCTTCTGAAGAATAAGAGGAGCACCAGTGGAGGACAGATTGATGTCTGCGGGGGAAATGAAAGTCCCAGTGCCCCGGGGCCCATCTCTGCAGATCACTGAACCCACGTTCCTGCAGCAAGGTCACAAAATGTTTTGTGACAAAGTATTTTTCACAATCCATCAAATGCCACAGCCCCTCCCCTGTGCCTGTCCTGTATATTCAGCAATGGACACAGGTACCAAATGTTGGAAGCAACCAAATAAGGTAGCCAGTTGGGTGGGTTTCTTTTTTATTCACCCTTCTCTTTCTCCATTCCTGTCTTCACCTCATTCTGAACCCTCTTCTGGTATCACATCATCTGGAAACAGAAAGGTTGTTGTAGACCCGTCAGCCCGACTCCTCTCTTTATGGACAAAGAATAGAGCCTCCTCCTCACCCCCCAGCACCAGAGATTCTGACGTCATAGGTCTGGATGGGCCAGAGCACCAGGCCTGGTTTCAGTTCTGGTGGGGTTTCCCCGTCACACCTGCGCAGCCAGCAGTGCACCATTGAGGAGAGCAGGTGGGAGCCCTGCTGACTTCCTTGATGGTCAGCACCCATGTTAGTGAGGGAGAGCCGGGCCTGTCATTCATGGGGGCCAGGAGCAGGGCCCTGGCTTCATCTTAGCTGCTCCTTGGAGTTACCTGGGCAGTTTTACAAATAGTGACACCTGGTCTCACCCCCAGGCTTCTGATTTGCTAGGTCTGCCGAAGCTCCCAGCGGTTCTAAGTATAGCCCCTTTGACAAGCACTGCTTAGGGATGCCTGGGTGGCTCAGTGGTCAGGCATCTGCCTTTGGCTTAGGTCGTGAACCCAGGGTCCTGGGATCGAGTCCCGCATCAGGCTCCCTGCAGGGAGCCCTCTTCTCCCTATGTCTCTGCCTCTCTCTGTGTGTCATGAATGAATAAATAACTCTTAAAAAGAATACTGCTGAAAGTCCTTCAGATGGAGCATGCAAGTGAGGACTGCTATCTGTGGAGGATCCTGCCCACCTGGAAGTGAGTGGAGCACAGGCCAGGGAGAGTCTGTAGTCAATTCCTTGATTTTTCACTACAGAACATTAACTCTGTCTTCCCATGAGCTGATGTTTAAAGCATATGACTCTAGACCGAATTGGCAATATAAAAGACCTATGTTGGAGGCTCCAAGTATCTTGGCTTTCATTTCTGGTTTTGGATTATGTTTTAACCTGTCCATTTCAAGTGAAAAGTAAATAAAGATGGGATGCCAGGTGCCCATGTGGAGTTTGGCGCCTTCAAATTCAAGACAGAATAAGTAGAAATAAGTGGATAAGGTCTGCTTGAGATGTTTGACCAATGAATGCGGATTTTTCTTAAGTTGGCAAAAGAATTCTCCCCTTCCCCTATTTCCTTGTCCCTCCAGGGAGCCACCCGTCTAACTGTGTCCGATAAAGCCTTATGCTTGAAGATCTAGAAATGACTTGGAAAATCTGGAAGTGTGTGTCAGCCCTGGGTAAGGCAATGATACTTCTGCAGAGAAAGAAACAAGTTAGTTTTAAAACAGCAATAGCCCATATTTACTCTAAAATGCCTGTAGTTTGGTTTATTTCCCCTAGTTAATATTCTTCAAAAATCCCTGGTAAAAACATGATTTTTTTTTCCCTAACAGATCACCAAATCAGGACTCTGTTGATTTGTTATCTCACTGCTTCCTACAGGGTGGAAAGTGGAGCCTGGTAGACGAAAGAGCTGAGATTTAAAAGTCACACTGACTTGAGGTCCAGCATTGAGGCTGGGAGAGCTTGAGGACTGACTCAGAGTCAGATCAGGATCTCCGAGTCCCTTCCTGCGACTTGGGACACTCTCTACCTGATAGCTGTGTCAGGATGTAGTTAGTCTTGAGACCAAGAACTTTCAGTAATGGTGGAGATGTCCAGTACAACGGCTGTCCAGTACAATGGCCACTAGACTAGTGCAAAACATGGCTAACATGACTATAGAATTGGATTTTTTAATTTTACTTAATTTCAATTAATTTTAAAACATCCAATGCATGTATCAATGGACAGTGCAAGTCTGGCATACAATAAGTAGTCAAGATATGTCAGTGTAACTTGGACTATGACATCTGGGATCCTAGGCAAGTTGTTCGGTGCTTCTAGGCTCAGTTTCCACATCTGTGATATGGGGCTGATAGTAACACCTTAGTAGCTCATATGTTTGTGCAGGGGATGAAATGAGAGATTGCCTGTTGGCTGAACTCAGTGCCTGGCACATGAAAGTTCTCAAAGCTGTTAGCTACTTTCCTAATAATGACTGTTTCCTCTTTAGGTTAGAATTGCACTCCCCCAAAGGATGCTCTTCCGTGTCATGGGCAACGCAGCTCCCCTTCTGCAGTGGAATGGAAGCACTGTGGATTGGGGGTGGGGGGCTCTTGGATGTGTAATCAAACACTGTGGATTGACAACAATTGATGGAAAGGACCTCTCAACTTGATGGCGTTGTGTTCCATCCATGTGACCCTGGGTAGTGCCTTTGGAAAGGCTTTTAGGTGCAGGGGGCAGGGAGCCTGGAGGGGGTAGGAATTAACCTGAGTACTTAATTCTGGCTGATGCGGACTCTGCAGCTCTAGGCAAACGGGAGATGGGGGCTGGCAGGCTAACTCCCCACCCCCTCCCTCTGTCTGGGATTCCAACAGAAGCTGACACACGCAGAGAAGTAAGATGGGAACACAGTTCACTTGTGCATTGACCATACGCAGCCCAGTTTTAGCATTCACTCATTCATTCAACAAACATTTATTCAGGGCCTATGCATGACACAACATGGGGCAAGGGATAAAGGAGCTCCCTTGCAGGAGGCTCTGTGTCCTTGAGCACGGGTTGCTTGGAAGCTCCATGAGTGGAGCCTGGGGGGGAGCAACTGTGCAGTCTCCAACAGGTGAAACAAGACAGGACACTGTCCAGGTGCTTAAAGTGGCACAGAAAAAATAAGTGGGACAAACAGTGCTTTATCTGACCACTTGGTAAAGAAAGGGTAACTACACCCGATTCCTGGTTCCATGCCTCCTTAAGCAGCTCCCGCAGAACAGAATGTACTTATTCCTTGTGGCAGCACCAGCACGCTGCCCTGAGGAGGGGTCATCCAGGGCCCGGGAGAGGGCTGTGTGTCTG